GCGGGAAGCCTGCTTCTCCCTCTCCCACTCCCTCTGCTTGTGTTCCCTCTCTCGCTGTGTCTCTCTCTGTCAAATAAATAAATAAAATCTTCAAAAATTAAAAAAAAGTGTATCTATGGGGAGCCTGGGTGGCTCAGTTGATTGAGTATGCAACTCCTGATTTCAGCTCAGGTCATGATCTCAATGAGACTCAGCCCCCCAACAGGTTCTGCTTGAGTTTCTCTCCCTCTGCCCCTCCCCCTGCTTGCACTCATGCATTGTGCTCTTGCTCTCTCTCTCAAATAAATATTTTTTTAAAAAAGAGAATATCCACAAAAAATGTACATTTAGCATTTTTCTTAATTGTGAGAAACCAGATGCTCTCTTGCTAAGATCGGGAACAAGGCAAGGATATCCATCCTTATCACTCCTATTTGACATCATACTGAATTTCCTAGATAATACAGTAAGACAAGAAAAGGAAATGAAAGGGGAAGAGATTGGAAAGGAAGAAATAAACTTCCTTTGCCTGCAAATGATATGCTTGTCTACATAGAGAATCCCAAAGAATCTTCATCAACAATAACAACACAAAGTCCTGGAACTAGTAAGTGATTATAACAAGGGTTCAGAATACAAGGTTAATACATAAAAGTCAATTGTTTTCTTGTATACTAACAATGAAAAATTAGAATTTGAAATTAAAAACACAATACATTTATATTAGCACCAAAAAATGTGAAATACTTAAGTATCAATCTAATAAAATATGTATAAGATTTACACGATAAGAAGTATAAAACTCTGATGAAGAAATCAAAGATGTACATAAATGGAGAAATATTCCAGGTACATGGAGAAGAAGACTCAATATTATCAAGATGTTATTTCTTTGCAAATTGCTCCATACACTACAAACAATCCCAATCAAAATCTCAGCAAATTATTTTGTAGCTGTTGAAAAAACTGATTCTGAAGTGTATATGGAAAAACAGAAGACCCAGAACAGTCAATACAATATTAAAAAAGAACAATTCAGAGGACTGACACTACCCAACTTCAAGACTTACTATAAAGCTTCAGTATTTAAGACATTGTTTTACTGGCAAAGAGATAAATAGATCAATGGAATAAAGACAGAGCCCAGAAATAGATCCACATAAATACAGTCAAATAATCTTCGACAAAGGAGGAAAGGCAATTCAATAGAGAAAGGAGAGTCTTTTTAACAAATGATACTAGGACAACTGAATATCCACAAGCAAAAAAAAAAAAAAATGAATTCAGACATCAACCTTATCCTTTCACAAAAGTTAGACTGGATCATAGACCTAAATGTAAAATGTAAAACCCCTAGAAAACAATATAGGAAGAAATCTAGTTGATCTTAGATTTAGAGAACTTATTGTTGTTGTTTTAGATGGAACACCAAAGAATAGTCCATGAAAGAAATATTGATAAATTGGACTTCATTAAGATTAAAAAAAAACAACAACAACAAATTCTTCTCTGTGAAAGACACTTTTGAGAGAATGAAAAGACAGGCCATCAAGTGGAAGGGAATATTTTCAAAACACATATCTGATAAAGGACTGGTATCCAAAATATACAAAGAATTTGTAAAACTCAACTATAAGAAAACAACTCAAAATTAATAGGCAAAAGATCTGGACACCTCACCAAGGAATATAAACAGATGGTAAGTAAGCATATGAAAAGATGCTGAACTAATATTATATGTGATTAAGGAATTGCAAATTATGGGGCGCCTGGGTGGCTCAGTCTTAAGCATCTGTCTTCAGTTCAGGTCATGATCCCAGGATCAAGCCCTGCATCGGCTCCTTGCTCAGCAGGAAACCTGCTTCTCCCTCTCCCACTCCCCCTGCTTGTGTTCCCTCTCTTGCTGTCTCTCTCTCTGTCAAATAAATAAAATCTTTAAAAAAAGGAATTGCAAATTAAAACAAGATACCACTACACACCTATTAAAACATGGCTAAAATCCAAAACACTGACAATAGCAAATGCTGGCCAGAATGTGAAGCAATAGGAACTCTTATTTATTGCTGGTGGGAATACAAAATGACACAGCCACTTTGGAAGACAGTTTGGCAGTTTCTTACAAAACTAAACAAACTCTTACATTAAATTTTTCCAAATGAGTTGAAAACGTGTGTTCACATAAAAATCTGCAGATGAATGTTTGTAGAAACTTTATTTATAACTGCCAAAACTTGGAAGCAATCAAGATGTCCTTCAATAGGTGAATGGATAACAAATTGTGATATAGCCATACAATGGAATACTGTTGGAGAAGGTAATCAAGAGGTTGGGACTTCCAGTTGACCTTGGGCTGGACTTGGGCAACTGGAGCCTCCTCACTCCCTCCCCTGTCCTTGGAATATATGCTCTGCACACAGTGGGAGCTTCTTTAAGGACACAGCCTTAAGGGAGTAACGTGTTTTTGAGACCATCTAGATGGTATACGGGACTGGACCCAATTAAGGCCTCTATATAAACTTTTAAGATTTGGCAGATGGGTACAGAGTTCGACTCATTTTGCAGCCACCTAAAACAAGCCTCATAATTAAGTTCTCATGCTTATTAAAATGCCATCTACCAATCTGGAATGGTCTGCCTCTTTCTTTGATCTCTCCTTGCCCTGTGTATATGGGGTAAGAGGGGTAGTTTGTAAACCAACAAACACTATTCAGTGATAAAAAGAACTGAGCTTTCAAGCCATGGATACACATGGAGGAACTTTAAATGCATATTGCTAAGCAAAAGAAGCCAATAAGAAAAGGCTAACCACTGTATCATCCCAACTATATAACACTCTGGAAAAGATAAAACTATGCAACCAATAAAAAGATCATTGACTATCAGGGAACAGAAATGGGGAGAAGAAAGGTGAGATCAATAGGTAGAGCACAGACTTTAGGGCAGTGAAATTATTCTATATGATACAGCAATGGTGGATACATATCATTACACATTTGTCCAAAGCCATAGAATGTGCAACACAGTGAATTCTAATGTAACCTATGGACTATAGTATTATATTGACATAGCTCATGAATTTTAACAAATACACTACACTGATGCAAGATGTATGTATGAAACTGTATATGTGGAGGGGAGTGATGAGAAGGTATATGGAAATGGTACTTTCCACTCAGTTTTTCTGTAAATCAAAAACCAGTCTAAAAAACAGTCTTAATAAAAAAAAAATGGCAAAAACAAGCAAGCTAAAAATGAAAACATTCTCTGGAATATTAAGAAAACAATGTCTTTACAGAATCCCACATACACATTCAAACAATAATCACCCAAATCATCTGCTTAATCTTTTGGGCTTCACAGAGGCAGGCAATAAAAGGCATAAAATCACTCTTCAATGGACTTGCCAATTGTATATGGCATAAATCAGAATGAATCATCAAAGATAAAATATGCTCATTTGTGAAGTCAAATTAAAAAAAAAAAAAAACAATCATCACATTACTTTGTTCTTGAATAGCAGAGGTAGTCTTTTGAGCCTCTTCCAGCCAGCTGTGGGTTCCAAGAAAACAGTAACTGATGATAATGATTAATTCTAGGGATGAGCGTCTCACTGTTTTGTAATTTAAGTACTGGTGAAAGGCATTTAAATTTGGAAAAAACTTGGTAATATACCAGTGCTTCCATTTAAGACCTTCTGGGGAAAATTAAACAAACACAACTTTGAACATATTTCTATATACTTATGTCATGGAATTTTTTTTTTGTACTAGAATTTAAAGTAAAACAGTTACAAATAATTTTTAAGCCTAAACTATCCTTTTAAAAAGTTGTAGTTCATTCCCTCTATAGGTTTGTAATTCTATTTAATGCTGAGCAAGGTAATATTTTTTTCAAATCAATGTCATAGAAAGCATTCTTGGATTAACTTACTGCTGAGTTCGACTCATTTTGCAGCCACCTAAAACAAGCCTCTATGAAAAATCTACAACCAAAATGTTAGAGAACCTTCTTAATCATGAAAACAAAAGAAAACAAAAAATTTTAAAAACACGATTATGAAAAATGATAAATATTTGCATAATTTATATCCCAAGTTTGAGAGTCAATTGGAATTTTCACCATTATAAAGAAAGGCTTAGTCTTTTATTATTGTAGTAACAGTACAGACCTATTTTTTTAAAACTGGTTGATATTTTGGTAAACCGTGGTAATATATGCCTTATCCTATATAGTTACACTACTAATTATGCAAGAATTCAGAGCTCTGCCTTGTCAATACTCTGAAATATTCATAATTGAAATTGGAAACTTCTCCGATGAAACTTTTAAAAATCCAAATCCCAACCTGGTTATAATTTTCCCTTCGTAGGGCATCATAAAAAAACCTTATAAAATTGCATTGTAAAATAGCTAGGTGAAGCCAAGATAAAAACACTGAAGGCCTTCTTACCTTAACATAGCATTTTTTCCGTCACTTCTGGTGCACCAGACCTGCCGGGTTTGATAACCTATCTCTAAGTCCCAGGGCTTGGAGAGGTGATGTGGCTTGTAACTTTGATGTCGAAAGGTGACTCGCTCCTTTGAATCGGAGCTGAAATCCAGAACAGTTCTTCCGCTTAGGTTAATTTCTTTAAGATGAGGCAGTCTACATTTACTCCATGGTCCTGCTTTAAGGCTAAAAATATATTCCTCTTCGCCAAGAGGACAGGAAATGGGAGTGTCACAGGCTCTCGACTCCGTCAGATTGGGACACTGAGACCCGCCATAGAGAGGGGCAGCGATGGCCGCCCGGGTCCTGTGCTGCAATTGCTTCTCACAGCCCTTGCTGCACTCGGACCACTGTGAGAACTCAGATACGACACAATCCCGGGGGCAGGGAATGAGGCAAGCTTGTTCTGCGGGGGGCTGAGGGGCAAAGTGTTCACAGATTTCATTTACAACCCTGGTTCTGTTCAACTTCTGAACACAGCGCACGGTCCGGTGCTGCAGCCCATGCTGCGCCGTCACACACTCTGCGGTCCGAGGCGGCGCTTGGCCGGGGCTGGCGGGAACGAGCACGCACTGGTGCCAGTCGGAGACCTCCCACTGGAAGAGGTCGCTGTGCCAGTCACACACCCGGAAGCAGCTTCTTTCCTTTGGAGGCCTGGTGTTCTCGTCGCAGTTAGATAGGTGACTCGTCCACCCTTCCAAGTGGAAACACCACAGGGCACGACTCTGCACTCCTCCGGGTCCACAGTCGCCCGTACACCTTCCCCAGGGGCCTATGGGCAAAAGACAAGGGCGTCCGTTACTCAGAGATTCTCCACTGCCATCCACACAAAAATGGATCAGTCTGCACACTTCCCAACACAACCAGTGTGAAATTATGGACTTGAGTGGACAATAGAATCTGGTTGTTAAGAGCGTGGGCGCTGCGTCTGTTGGCCTTTGTTGAAATCCCCACTCCATCCCTTACCAGCAATGTCAGCTTGGACGAGTTACTTCCCCTTTCTAAGCCTTCGTTTCCTTAACTCCGCAAGAGACAGCATAAAAGCCCTGACTTGCAGAGCTGTTCTGAGGCTCAGTGGTACAATGTGGTGCCAATGCACACTTAAAAAATGACTGGTTCTTAAAAAATGATTCTAATGAATCATTATGTTTCAAAGCCTATATATCTAACTCAATATTAATACTTTCTAGTTAGACAATGTTTCAATCTAAAAGAAAAGCCCTAAACCCAGGATTTTAATAAAGTGGGATTTTTCATGTTTCCAAGCCTTCAGCTCAACACTGCAGGTGGCTCAGAAGAGAACTATGTCTTTAAAAAATAACAATGAATCATGGAACACTACATCCAAAACTAATGATGTAATGTATGGTGATGAACATAATAAAATTAAATTTAAAAAAATAACCTGCCAAAGTATCTTAAATATACTTCCATTTGCTAAATAGGTGCCCCGCTTTTGCTTTTGGATTTTGCTTGCAGAGTGAATTGCATGAAACAAAATATCTGATGGGAGAGGATATACTAAAAGCAACAACAGTATCATTCAACCGCCCACGGAAATTCTGCCCCTAGGACCCCTGAATATACCCACTTTGATTTCTCATGGGTATTGACTCTGGGTCAAGCTGCCAACATTAGTTTGTAATACACCACATCTTTTAATTAATGAATATGTTTTCATGGGAAAGAGTCCCACAGAAAAACGGACAGATAAAAGAGCGTCCATTGATGTCTCTCACATTGTTTTGCATCTAATCCGTAGATATACCAGCCAGGCTTATCCAGAAGGCTGACGATATAACGTTTCACAAGGATGGCAAGTAATCACATTTTGTGTCAACGGGAAAAGAATACTTTCCTCTCTTTCACTTTACTTAATTGTAACATGAACCTGAGAAAACTTTACCAACTTAACCATGTAACCTTTGCCCCTGCACTAGGTTGTGATACTAAAGGCAATTCACACGCTGAGAAACATTTTAATTTACCTAGGTAAGAGAAAGAAGGTGCAGTCTTTCTCTCTTTCCCCAAATCTGAGCAAACACCCAAAACTTCATGGAATATGTTTTCGTACACATCCGTAATATCTCTAGAAACAGGAAATGTGTACAGAGTCACATGCACTTAGGAAGAGACATATACATCCCCAGAGAAACAGGTATTTGCATTGGTGGACAACATGCTGCAGTGAGGATCTCTCACTTAAAGGGCAGGACATCAATTTTGGGGTTCTAATGTACAGTCTTCCCAGTTCTTCCTCACAGCCTTGTCTGGCTATGTAGACCTACTCTGCTATTTGCTTCTGTCATTTTATAAGTGAGATTAACATAGAAAATACCCTCATGTCCTTTCAGTGTCCCCATCCCTGGAGTCTCCCCTTGCTGAAATGGACGGAGGAGTTTCATTGGAGTAAGTCAGCTTTTACTCACAGAAATGCCCTCGAGTTTGCCCACACATTGCCCAGGCGTGGTGTCCCAGCACTGACTGCTCATGGCACAGTAAATGCACATAAAAAATGGTACTGTCAGCACAGGCTGATTTCATCAACTGCCTGCAATTCTGGTGGTTTTCTCCTAGATCACCCACAATTTGTGCCTTGTAAACTGAGATGTGCATTGCTACATGAAAGTCATTTACAGGTTTCATGTGTCCAGATGTTCTGGAGCAATCTCAGTTCAAGTATGCCATCCCTTGTCCATCATGTCAGACTACACATGCAAATTTTCATTATTGCCAAAAAAAAGAAAAATCGCCATGGTTACTCAGTAAAGAAATACTTCCAAAAATATATCCTTGTAGCAAACTTTAAAATCTAAAGTCAATTTTGAATAATAGAAATTGGCTACTGGATGAAATCGAAAGAGCTCTTTTGAAAGTACCAGTTTTTAAATAATGGCTGTCTGCTTATCTTTACTTGTTAAGGTATCAAATACACACACTTTTCCCCTTAGGACGTTTTTGTGTAAAGAAAGTAAGACCGGAAAAAATCAAACCATTTCTAACCAATCTGAAAAAGCTAATATTAAATTTAATTCATCTAGAACATCTTACAGGTAATCTCTATTCTTACTTTTAAAGATTTTACTAACACATTTTCTTATTAAAATGTTTCCTTCTTGTTGTAAGTTTTTCACCTACTTTCAAAATTGTTAAGGTAGCTCTTTTTTGTTATTTGAAATCATTAATATTTTAAACCTTATACATTACTATTCTTCCTTTAGCTTTCACATTCTCCATCTGTCTAGAAATGCACCAAACAGCAAAAATTTTCTTAGATCAATGGAAGACAAAATATAACTATTAAGTAATTATCACCATTTGTTAAGGGCTAGCAGTGCTGTGCTGGGCTTGGATGGTACCAGAGGACTGTTACATATTCAAGAATTTTACCAGGTGGTTGTTAAATCATTCATAGTTTGAAATCAACCATGATGAAAGTATTTACACCACACTACAAATCAAGGCAAATCAAGACATTAAAACAAACAAACAAACTGAGAGCTGGTTTGTCACATACCACTAGTGATTTGCCCAGTTCCTTCCTATTCCTTACAACAGTCCTCTGACATGGGGCTAGAATGCTTATTTTATCAGTTGGGGAAATGAAGTTCAGAGAAGTTATAAAGCACCTCGAAGGTTACACAGCTAGTACATGGTAGACTAGAATGGGACTCCAGATCTGCGAGACTCCAAGCATGGGCTCTTGCCCTGCATTTGAAAAGTCTTTTCCAGGGTGAGCATTGGTATATGTGATCCTAACATCACAAGGCAGATAGATCTGTTTCTTAGTTTAGCTATGATCTCTCCGATCTGTTAGTTAATATTCCTTTAAAAATGAGTACAAGTAATCAAGGTGGTATGTGAGCAATGAATTCCCCCTCCTAGCCCTGGAAATGTTGATAAGCATTAGTTAGTACATTAGGAAGGCACAGTCAACAGAGAATAGTTTCTCCTCAGGTTAAAAACAAACTTTGCAGACAACTGAACAACATGTAAGTAACAAGCAAATATAAAGTGAATTGTGTATGCTTGGAATAAATGACAAACAAATTGCAAACAAGATATACAAGATAGAGACAAGACCTCTCAGCAATTGACCTATAACAATTTGCATTTCTCAGGCATACAGAGAAAATGTGTTCCATGACTTATTCAGTTGTGTTTGCCTATGAAGTTTAAACACACACACTAGTGAAAAATCACATAGCCCTGAGGGATTTTGCCATTTCAGAAAACATGCATATTGAAGCAAAATGTGAACTACAGTTTGAGAAATCTTGTATCCCTTGTCCAACTTCAAAAATAGAACATATTAAAGTTTTGAGCAGTTGCATGGAGAAAATGAATACCACCTTTAGATTTTCCACATACATAAAATGCGATTATAGTCACAACATATATCTGAGATAAATAATCTAAAGAAACATATAGGAAATCCACGCTTTTAAACATCAATCATTTGGTATTTCTTTATTTTTAAGATTTTATTTATTTATTTGACAGAGAGAGATAGAGCACGAGTGGGAGGAGGGACAGAGGGAGAGGGAGAAGCAGACTCCCCACTGAGCAGGGAGCCTGATTTGGGGCTCGATCCCAGGACCCTGTGATCATGACCTGAGCCGAAGGCAGACACTTAACTGACTGAGCCACCCAGGTGCCCCACATTTGGTATTTCTTAATTGAAAACAGGTCCCAAGTAATACAAATAAAATAAAATTTAGAACCAGTAAAGGATTAAAAGTTTAATTAGACATAATATGCATTTAAACTAAAATTCATGCTGTGTTACAGTCTCAGAAAATACTTCAATGGTATAATAGGAATAATAATTCAGTACTTGTTTACCTGGACCAACATTATATAAAAACATCATCCACCTGCAAGTTACTACCTTTTCTGTGTGATAAATACAGTTACTTTGGAATAAACTGCTAAATCTTTTAAATCACATCAGTTTTAATTAACACATTAACATTTTGGTTTAGAAATAAAATTTTGGGGCGTGCAAGGGTGGCATGGATGAATTCTTGGGTCATATTCACATTTAAGACTCTGTGATTCCTCTTTTTTTTTCTTTTTTGTTTCTGCAGAAAGTGCAAATATGTGAATGTTCTAATGTAATATTCCCCTAGAAGCAGAAAAGTGCTGGCACATGTTATTCTCTTAATTAAGTTACCCTTAAGTGGATTAGTTGAGATGAATGTATCTCCCAATCTAAATCATCATATTGAAGACGACCTGCCGGATGCCTGAATTTCGGGTGTGGCATTCACAAAGATGCCTACAACAAAGGAAAAAGGGAACTCAAGTGGTCAGAAAGAATAAACACATTCTGGCTTTTGCACAGCATTTGCCACTGTTTGAGGCAGCAACCCTGACTTAATACCATTCATGCCATAGGAAAAGATGTTTATTTTACTGTACATTTTTTTCAACCCACAGCTTTTATTATCGTGACATTGCTTTATTTTTAACTTGGGCAATGGGGTGAAGGAGTGACAAGAATGTCAATGCAAAGCTTTAATATCTTAACCAAATTATTTGTGGATAATTACTATACCAAAGCACTCATAAACCTCAACATTACCAAATGTGATATAAAACAACATTGACTCACTGATAAGATGCCTCACCTCCAAGAAATAGCTTGGAATTTATGTAGTAGCTTTCACTCCTTAAAAAGCCTTCATGTCAACTGTGGAGTAATTAAAGTAAGGCTTCCCTTGCACAGTTGACAAATATCTAAGAAATCACACTTTCTAAAATATATCAAAGAACCCAAAGAATGAGAAGAGAGTAGCATCTGAGCATTCATTCACTAAAATAACAATTTCTCTTTAGCTGCTACTTGACAAATAGTGTATTCGACTCTGGAAATATAAAAATAAATGAGACACCAAGTATCTCTTACAAAATCTGTGTGCTAGATGTAATGCCAGTTTGCTCCTGAAGAGGACAT